TTTTACTCTTATATTTTATAAATATATATACATGTAGTAACAATTAATTGATTAATTATATTAAAGATCGGAGGTAGTATGTTGTTACAAAAACTAGTTGTGAAAAAATGTTATGGGATTTCATGTTTAATATATTATAAAATCTATCTTTTATGTAATTATCATATTAACTTATGCCCTTTTTAATAATTTACACATATAAAAAGTACTTCTGATAACAACTATCCAAACACTCTCACTTTATCAGAATCACTTTTTCACAAAATCTATTCTTCACAAAATCTATTTTTATCAAAATCTATTCTCTAGAAGCTATTCTCTAAATTATGGTTTGGTTTTATCCAAACACCCTTTTAGTCTTGCTCCATTTACTAAAAAGCTTAAGTTCCCACTTGTAGGTCTCCTTTTCCCCTTCGTCCATGGGTTCAACTAGCAAGGGGTTTGGACACTCTCACCAAGAGAGAGGGTTTGAACCTTAAGTTAGCCACAGCATTGGGGGAGGCATCACCATAGCTAAGTGTAAGTGACCTCTTATGGGCTAATTCCAATGTGGTTAATGTCCTTTAGCCAGGGGGAGGTGCAGGCATGTGTACTCTCCTACCTAGTCCGTAAAGTCGTGAGATCATGAGTTAGGTGCTTTGCTTTTGGATCGTGGGTAAGTCCAACTCCTTTCCTAAAATTTGTGTACCAAAGAAAAAAAAAACAAGAAGTAAATTATCGAGGTTGAATCTTAAGCATATTATCTCTTTAGCATTGAAAATTAGTTATTATTTAAAAATAGTTAGACTTTAATTCATTCCTAAAAATGTTGAAAACGAAACAAAATTCATAATCATTTCCAGAAGTTAACTTTTTGAAGAGTATACTTTTCGAAAAGTTCAATAAATTGAACAAAACGATTTCCTAATCTCGATGAATAAACTTGAAAGTCTCTTATAAAAAAAAAAAAAAAGAACTTGAAAGTTGCGTGTGTATGTTAATTAACACATCCACGTCATGATGAGGCCGAAAAAACTCCATTATCAATGCAAGCAGGAGATAATATCTTATGATATGCGTGGCATGTTCCAATACACACACACACAGAGACACATACTTAGTTTTTTGTCCAGAAATTCCAGGACAGTTGAAGAGCATGTAAATAAAGAATCATAATAATGAATGGATATGGTAACAATGGAACTATATAACTATTTACAGTAAAATATTCACAAATTCTTTAAATAAAATCAATATATAACTGATGCAGCTATTTTACTATAGCGACATGGTCCCTAAATATTAAAAAAGAGAACCTGCTAAAACATTACTACTGCGGCCGTATATCTCTTTTAATTAAACAAGCAGAAATTTGAAACGAGAAAAAAAAAAGAAGAAGGCATGATAGAATTCAAAGAGAAACAGAATATAGAGGTGTTAATTGATGTGGGAACTTTCAAGGTAATTTTATGCTCATTCTAGAACATAGTTATAATCAAAACTAATTGTTCAAACGACATGTAAATGAAAGATAATCAAGAGTTTTCTTAATGAGTTAGAAAGTTTTATAATTATAGTATTAAATGATAAAAATTAATGCTTTAAATAAATTATATTATATTAAAAGAATATGTAGGAGGTTCTTATAAAGGCGGAAGTAAATATAAGGAAAAAGAGTGAAAATATATGTGACAACCTTGGGAGTGAAATTTTAACACTGTACAGACCAAATATGGGAAGCTCTATGGCTAAAACTAAAATTCAATGCCATCTACCCGTTGTCGGATGGCGATGTACGCGGCTTCTCTCTTTCTCCCTTATCATTCGCTGCCCACCTTCACCCTTAATGCTGCGTCGTTTTGAGTAAAAGCAGGAGAGGGTGAGTGTTTTTTTTTTCATGTTAAAAAAATATCTAGCACCTTATGACGTTAAAATTGTTTTTCAGTGTCATTTAGCATCCTAAATTAATTTTTAGTGTACCCACTAACTTAGCATATTTTTTTAGTAGCACCCAATATCTAACACTCAGCACCTTGAGATATTTTTCAGTAGCACCACCTAATATTGTTATTTTGTCCGCTCAGCAGGTAAAGTATTTTGCCAGTAACAATTTCTATGTAGCATCCGACACATTGAAGTATTTTTTTTTTTTTTAGGAGTACCTAGTAACTCAAAATAAATTTAGTGCATCCATCACCATAAAATATTGCTATGATTCAAAATCCTACTAAAAAAATATTTTAGGGTGCTGAATATACTAAAAATTAATTTATGATTTTGGGTGATATTAAAAAAATACTTTAATATGATGGGTATCAGATATTAGGTATTACTGAAAATTTTTAGGATGCTGAGCGCTACATAAAAATACTTCAAAATACTAAAAGTTAAATACTGGGTAATATTAGAAAAATATTTTAGAGTGATAAATATACTAAAAATAAATTTAGCATACTCAATGATATTGAAAATATATTTTAAGGTGCTAAATATTTTTTTTTTAAAAGGCACTCATTCTCTTTTGTTTTTCATTCAAAATGCTACAGTTGAAGGGTAAAGGACGGCAACAGATGTTAAGGGAAAAGGAGAGAAGCCGCCTTCGTCGAGTAGACCCTAACGACTATTATCCCATTTACGCCGGTTATCAAAAGAGATTGACCAAGCCTGATATGTCGATATAATTAAAAGAAAATTAAAAGCAAGAATTGATGGTTTATTTTTCTTGAGCTGATTAGAATGGTCTGCATATGATAAAGTCACATTGGGGGCAACATCTTCAATTCATTTATGACAACGTCACATGTGGGGCAACAAGTCATTGACTTTGGCTCTTGCAGTTTGAAGATTGATGGATTTAGAAATTGAAACGAATGTTGTCTTTGTCAGGGAGCAAGGCCACCCTTTGATCAGTGATCATCCACGTTTTCAATCCTTGTTTTCAAGGGCATTTAACTTGACCGCGGCTTGGTTGGCACCATCTTGCTTGATTGCTTCAAACCAAGCTTGGACTGGGATGAAAATAGATGGAAATAATAAGAGTGAACAATGCGTAACATATAAAATTTGAGTGAGAGAGAGAGAGAGAGAAGTTTTGACTGAAAAAGCCAACATGAATGCCAATATGACCATAGCTGGCAGTGAAGGGAGAAAAATAAAAAATATAATCAAAATAATTCACACGTCTTCTTTTGATAGATTTTGGAAATCAAAATAATCCATCACCTCCGACTCTGAGTTGTACTCAAACTGACTCACAAAGGTTAAAAGTGTGGCTTACCAAGGGGATGGATTTTGAAAAGCTCGATCAACCCAAAAAGACTTACTATAGGGGTTCTAAAAAATAACTAGAATTAAGCTCTATAATATAGTAGCTCAATCTTTGGTCAATCTCACAAGGAGCATAGGTCTGAGGATTTTAGTTCAATTAAATGCCAACTGCAACATCCCAAATTTAATTGGGTTTTACAGTGTTTATGGTTATTTGGGGGACAAAAAACTAAGACAAGTAGATTACTCACTGCTCAAATCTCATCATAAAAGATTAAAGAAAATCAGTAATTTAGAAGAGAATCACATTATATAAATTATATACGTGTAGTTGTACCAAAAAAATAAAATAAAATCAATGAATATATGACAATAAGTATATGCATAAATACTCACTACTACAATGAAGACTTTTTACTTCTGTTTTGCATGACTTTTTATGTCTGTTTTGTAGGGGACATGAAAAGAAGGGACATAAAAAGTACCCCCTTTTACTTCTGTTTGGAATGGACGAGAATTCACGTCTGTTTCCCAAAAACAGACGTGAATTCATGTCTGTTTCGCAAAACAGACATGAATTCACGTCTGTTTTTGGAAAACAGACGTTAATTCACATCTGTTTTTCGCTGAACAGACGTGAATGTACTCTGTTTTTTTTTAAAAAAAGATTCAGTTCGTATATACTACTTCTCCTACAGTCACAATAGCCATAATAGCCACTTTCCAGCAAGTTGAAATAGTATGAACCAGTCAATATTTTCAGCCAAGACATATCAACATCATAACTTCATCTATATAGACACATTAATTAACTAACTAGTCAAAAAAGAAGAACAAATTACAAAAGTCAATATTGATCCTATTGTCTCTAAACATAAACTTGCTCAATCCCTGGACCACAATTCTTGAAGCAGTTGCTGTGCCAAAAGGTCTCGGGTGAAGTTAATGTCATCAATAGTATATGAACAATCATTATCAAAAATCTGTAAATTGACAAATGAACAAATTTAAACATAGGAAGAAAATAAAATAAGTAACAATTCAATTTAAAAATTCAACTATTACAAAACTAAAATTATATTTACTTACCTCATCAAATTTTGTAATACATCCGCTCTCAATAATCTCAAACATATAACGGATAATGTAATATCTGCACTCTGTTGGCCCTTGTTGCTTAGCACACTGCAAATCACAAGGAAATGATAATCCAAATTCATATATAAAATAACTGCCATCAATGAAAGAACTTCAATTTAAAGTACTCACACTAGGATATACCCAAGTTGTTGAGCCATTTTTCCCGGAACGCTTCCCACTGGTTATATAATAAGTCTTTAAAGCCCTATAAGCAAATGAAAGCACAAGTTAAATAATTTATATTGAAAACAAAATTATTGATTTACATTAAGGTACTTACGTGTTGAAAACGCCCCTCATCTCACTGCTTGGACGACGACCCAAGGGATCAAACTAGTAGATGACATTGTCAATGGGACAAGAAACACACAAACTCCAATGACAACTGCATCATAGAGTAAGACTTATACATTACTGGATATCACAATAATTCTTAACAATTTAAGTATGTATAAATAAATATAATTAAGCTACTTGCCCTTCAATAATTGGTGCCAAATAACAAGGTAATTTAGTGTCTCCAATCGTATTGCCCACATATCTGATTCTCCTATCTAGTGGGTTGTACTTCTTCTGGACACTTGCAGGGCATAAATATCCATACAAATTTCTCTTCTCCATTGATGACATGCATTTGTTATGGAAGAAGCTATCATTGAATTGAAATAAGATAATTATTAGTATGTGAAAGTAAGAAATTAGAAATTTAAGTTAGAAATGAAAAAGTAAACTTACATGATTGCTAATTGAACCCATGCTATGTCCAACTCCTTCAAGGATAAGAAATCCCTGATGTCTTTGTTGTCAAGTCCAAAGAAATATGATTTTTCTTCACCCACAATCCCTACAGGCATCTTTATGTCGACCTTGTTAATTGTTTTATATTCCTCATATAATTGTGCCAAGCAGGGATATCTATTAACATCTTCCTGGTCCTCATGAAACATCAAATAAACATAATAAGTATTATGTTAAAAAAAATGCACACAATATAGAATAACATTTTCTTACCATCACAGGTATTATCTCCTCATCAACAAGGTGTCTAGGCCAAAGAATGAAAGTTCCAATTGCCTGACCTAACTTCACAACTTCAGCAGTCAGGAATGGCACATCCGCACCTGTCTCTCCCTCTCGAACAGTCATAACTGTAACCCTCGCTTGGTCCTCTTGAATATGTTGGTGATGGATAGTGCTCCCTTGATTGTAGAGGAGAGCGTCAGCAACAACATGCATCCTTGGGACCTCTAAACGAAGACAACAAGGTTGTCCAAAGTCCGGTGTGGGACTACTAGGATCATGCTCTCCCAATGACCCCGGTGGATTACAACTGTTTTTAGTGCTAGGAAAGACGGGGGAATCCTAAATGAGAGAAATGCAAGTATTAAATTAAATTAAAAAACGTTGGTAAAACTCAACATTAATTTAAGTGAAATTGATTACAAACCTGGGGTGTGCATTGTTGTTGAACTATCCCAATTTGCATGCTAGAGACCATAGATTTCATCTCATCACGAAGCTCAGCCATAAGCTCTTTTCGAAGTGACTGGCGTAACTGGGCCTCAATCTTGACCTCTAGCTCAGATTGGAGCTCATCACGAACTTGGTCTCGAAGTTTAGCTATCATCTCATCAGTGGGTTGACTTCGTAGAGAAGCTCGTGAAGTTTGTCCAAAATATTGGGTAAGACCAACTGTCCTCCCTTCTCCTCTAACGCGTCCGGGGTGATCAGGCTTCCCAATCGCTGTCGCTAAAATGTCCATCCTTCCACTCGGACTAAATGAACCTTCACTGCTTTGCTCTTCAAGTACCTCCTATAACATTTTAAGTATGATAAAAAATTAATGACAGTATCATAGAAAATTAATAATAAAATATAAGGAATATTACCATAAGTTAAAGTTATTTGATGTATACAACTTACAATTTTTTTAGTAATCTCAGCAACTGCTGGATTAATATATTGACCCTTCTTCATCCTTGCTTCCTTCCATTTTCTATGACGTGGAGGAGGAGGTGGGGTCTGAACAACGATACTAGGATCAGATTTTGCAGCTTCCTGCATCGCCTTAAAGTCATCCTGCATGATCCTCTCCTCAAGCATCTTGTAACCTCCACGGGATAAATAGTGCGGATATAAATTTTTAGCTTGCCTTTCTTTATTCATCGCACTTAATTCCTGTGGAAAAGAAAACAAAGTAAATTGAGTAAGTGAAGTAAATTAAATCAAAATTAAATGTTTTATAAGGCAATGTACCTGAAATTTAGGATCATGCCGTGATGCCATAAACCTCCTCCAATCATCTGGATCAAGGAAGGAGTATTTTTCGCACGGATCATCATCTTTCTTAGGCCCTCGCACATACTGGCTCGTGAGTGTGTGCTTAAAATCTTTCCAGCGCTGACAAACTTGCTGCAACAAATGCTTTTTCATTTGCTCAGTACGAGGGATGTCATACGTTTGCTGCAAAGAAAAATATATATGTTTGAGTTAAAGATCTTAGTTATAACTATATTTACAATAAAACAAATGAAATAAAATTAGAAAGTGACATACCAAAATATATTCCCAAATCCTATCCCTCGTCTCCTTAGAAATTGACTTCCAATTAGGCCATAGAATATTAACTTTGCTTCGGGCAACGGAGCCTATATAGCTAATGAATCTATCCTTCTCTTCACCAATTGGATTCATATTGGCATCAAAATCCATATGCCTCTTCTGAATACGACCATGACGTACTGCTAACTTTGGTAGCCTTGTACTACCTCCAACCTTCCTTCCTTCCTGCTGATTGACATCATCGATGTCATAATCCTCCTCCATATCTCTCTCATAACCCTCCTCCATATTGGCATCAAAATCCTCCTCCATGTGCCTGTTGAAAAACCAAAATTAGATAAATAAGTAAATTATAGTGAATTGTATTAATATATAAATAATATCAAGTACATTGCTATGAAATAAATGAAAGAAAATAACACAAGGTACGTTGCAAAATTACATTACTTAATCTGACTTTATGCATTGTCCCATATCCCTTCACAATGATCATCTCTTGCAGCATATTCATCATTATCTACCAATTCTACTTCACTTGGTTTAGGCGGATTTGAAGCAAAAGGTGGTATCTCATCAAGATTCATGGTAGGATCACTGTCCTTCTGCTTTTTACTTTGAAGGACAATAGACAATTTTTTATTTGTTGGATCAGTAACATAAAATACTTGTTTTGCCTGGCTTGCTAAAATGAAGGGCTCATCTGCATAACCAACCCTGCCAAGATCAACTAATGTAAATCTAAATTGTTGATCTATTTCAATACTGTTGTTGTTGACCCATTTACATTTGAAGACAGGAATCTTGAAATTGGTGTAGTTTACCTCCCATATCTCTTCAATAACTCCATAATAAGCCATAGATGCCAATTTGGGGTTTTTATCTTTCGAACTCGAAAAATGCATCGCTTCAGCAACCACCATTACGCCACTATTCTGTACAGTACTTTTGTCATCTTGAGCTTTTGTGTAGAAGGAATATCCATTTATGTCGTATCCACTCCAAGTGATAACTTCAAAACAAGGACCCCAAGCTAACCATTTTATTGTATCAGATACATTGGCCTCTCTCAAAACTTTTTCACTGAACCATGTTATAAATGTTTTGTTATGCTCATTTGCTATCTGCATATCACTTTTCTTTGGATACTTCTCTTTTAAACTTTTTTTGTGATCATCTAAATACGACTGCACTTCTTCCATATTATTCAATATGTATAAGTGCGCTTGTAACACTTCTTCACGACCCATACTCTTTACCTTCAACCCCCTGATTCCTTTACTTGTACCGTTTTCATGCCGAGATGATGTCTTAGCTATAGATAGATATGTTTTGCAAAATTCCATAGCCTCCTCCGCTACATACCTTTCAACAATTGATGCTTCAGGTCGATAAGGATTTTTAGAATAATTTTTTAAGACTTTCATGCACCTCTCAAATGGATACATCCATCTTAGAAAAATAGGACCGCAAAGCCTTATCTCCCTCACTAAATGAATGATCAAATGCACCATGATGTCAAAAAATGCTGGGGGAAAGTGCATTTCTAGTTGAGACAAGATAACATAACCCTCATTTTCCAATTCATCCAATTTCTCTATGTCAATGACTTTGCTACAAATAGCATTGAAGAAGATACATAATCTAGTTATAGTGCTCCTCACATCATCTCTCATTGTGCCTCGAATAGCTACGGGTAATAGTTGTTGCATCAGTACATGATAATCATGAGACTTTATTCCCACTAACTTCAAATCGTGCATTGAGATAAGCCTTTTCATATTAGAAGAATACCCCTGGGGCACCTTGATGTCATGCAAACACCGACACAAGCTTGTTTTTTCGACTTTAGACAATATGTGGGCCGCAGGTTCCATATAAGCCCGCTTACCACCCTCTCTCAATTGTGGATGTAAGCGCTCTCGAATGCCCATTTCAGCCAGATCAAGTCTTGCATTAATTCCATCTTTAGTTTTTCCAGGTATGTGCAAAAGAGTACCGATAAGACTATCACACACATTTTTTCCACATGCATCACATCGATACTGTGTCTTACATCAAGACTGCGCCAATATGGAAGATCAAAGAAAATAGACCTCTTCTTCCATATGTTTTTCTCACTTGCAGCTTTTTGAGTCTTACCGAAAATGACATTGATTCTTTCAACTCGCTGGTAAACTTCCTCTCCAGTTAATGCCTTCGGAGCCATGCCATGCTCTAGTGAGCCATTAAAAACCTTTTTCAATCTCCGGTATGGGTGGACCGATCAAGGAACCTCCTGTGACCGAGGTAAACTGTCTCCTTCCGTGCTTAAGTTGGTGGAAGTATTGTGTCTGCTTCACATATAGGACATGCTTTATGCCCCTTCACACTGTATCCTGATAGATTTCCATATGGAGGAGGAAAGTCATTTATCGTTGTAAAGATCATGGCACGCAACTTAAAGGACTCCTGCTTGTATGCATCAAACACATCCACGCCTTCTTCCCACAACATCTTCAAATCTTCAATTAAAGGTGCCAAGTAGATATCGATATTGTTTCTGGTTGTTTCAGTCCTGAAATCATCATAGAAAGCATCATGTACTTGCGCTTCATACATAACCAGGGAGGTAGGTTGTAAATCACCAACAGTACTGGCCATGCACTATGTGTGCTATTAAGAGTACCGTAAGGGTTATTCCATCTGTACAAAGCCCAAGGCGAAGATTTCTTGGTTCAACGACCAAATTCCGGAAACATTTCATCTATTTTATGCCATTGAGGAGAATCAGTAGGGCGCCGAAGATATCTTCCATCTGATATTCTCTCATCAAAATGCTATCTTAACTTCTTCGCTTCTGTTGCATTAGCAAATAAGTGCTTAAATCGTGGTTTTATCGTATTACGGAAGATACCATAACACCTTCAAAGGTTGCCCTTTACTTGTCTTATCACCATCATAGTTACCAGCACAGTCCATGTTCTTTTTCACCTTATATCGTGAAGTTTTACATTTTGGGCACTCACGTAGACCAGTATACTCTTTTCTATATAATACACAGTCATTAGGACAAGCGTGTATCTTTTCATAGCCCATACCCATCCGAGACAAGATTTTCTTTGCTTCATACACACGATTTGGAAGAACATTATCAATTGGAAGCATATCACTAATCATTGAAGCAACTCTGTGAAACTTTTGTCAGTCCACCCATTATTTGCTTTTTAAACTGAACAATTTCAATACAGCTGTCAATCGTGTATACTTAGAACACCCAGGGTACAAAGGCATCTCTGCATCACTCTTCAAGTTATCATTTGCATGTGATTGCACAAAGAACTCTACCCTTACATCATGAATCATATCGCTCATTCTATCATTTACATCATCCATATCTTCCCTCTTCTTCGAGTATTGAACTGTTCCTACTTACACCCCATTGCCATATCCATTTTGTATCGAAGATTTATACCATCACAAAGCAGGTGATCTCAATATCATCAACACTTAGTCACCTCTCATTTAAACACTGACACAGGGACAAAAATCACATTCGT